GATGGATGAAAGACTATCTAATCAGATATGAATAAACATACAGCTCATGGGGACAAAAAAGCTGATAACATAAGAAATTGAAAGGAGAGCTTCCATATAAACTATGAACCTTCTTCACAATTCTCAATCTATAATTATCTACTAGCTATCATTTCTTTTTTTTTTTTTTTTTTTTTTTTTGAGATGGAGTCTCGCTCTGTCGCCCAGGCTGGAGTGCAGTGGCTGGATCTCAGCTCACTGCAAGCTCCGCCTCCCGGGTTTACGCCATTCTCCTGCCTCAGCCTCCCGAGTAGCTGGGACTACAAGCGCCCGCCACCTCGCCCGGCTAGTTTTTTGTATTTTTTTTAGTAGAGACGGGGTTTCGCCGTGTTAGCCAGGATGGTCTCGATCTCCTGACCTCATGATCCGCCAGTCTCGGCCTCCCAAAGTGCTGGGATTACAGGCTTGAGCCACCGCGCCCGGCCTAGCTATCATTTCTTAAGAGCTTATGTGTCAGGAACTATAAGTGCTTTTTATGTATTATCTTATTCTCACAGCACTCTAAGGTAAGCAGAAGTATTCTCATTTTAGAGATAAGAAAACAGACGATGAGAAGTTAAATGACTTGACCAATGTAAATACCTAAGTTGGGCTTCAAACTTAGATCTATGTCACTTTAAATACCAAACCCTTCAAAGCACGCCATAAAAAGAACAATAGACCAAAAATATGAAGTCCTGGGTTTGAATGCTGTTCCTGCCATGTAATGATTCTGTGATCTTAGGCAAGTCAGTGAACATTTCAGTTTTCTCATTTATTAAAATATTAACTCCTGCCCTAGTTTACCTCATAGAATATAAAAAGGGATGACTATATACACGTCAGTTAAGTCACTACAGAAGTGGGTATGCTAGCATACATCTGCAGTCCTACCTACTCAAGAGGATGAGGTGGGAAGACTGCTTGAGCCCCCGAGTTTGAGGCTGTAATGCACCAAGATCACACCTGTGAAAAGCCACTGTACTTCAGCTTGGGCAACACAGCAAGATCCTATCTCTTACAAAAGAAAAATAAAAAGGAATGTAAGAGATAATTATAGAAAAGCTGTTTTGTTTTGTTTTTTTTTTTTGAGATGGAGTTTCGCTCTTGTTGCCCAGGCTGGAGTGCAATGGCGCGATCTCGGCTCACCGCAACCTCCGCCTCCCGGGTTTAAGGAATTTTCCTGCCTCAGCCTCCCAAGTAGCTGGGATTACAGGCATGTGCCACCACACCAGCTAATTTTGTATTTTTAGTAGAGATAGCGTTTCTCTATGTTGGTCAGGCTGGTCTTGAACTCCCGACCGCAGGTGATCCGACTGCCTTGGCCTCCCAAAGTGCTGGGATTACAGGCATGAGCCACTACACCTGGCCGAAAAGTACAACTACTGATAAACCAAAAACATGTTGAATAATGAATGGATTTAATATTTTATAGTTCCTCTAATAGTAACAGTATATACGAAAGCAGTGACTTTCAAAAGATACTTCTCTCAAGCACACCAGGGGTGCAAAGCAAATAGGGATCTCAAATCTACTTTAGTCAGAGTAGCTCTAAAAGCTTGAATAAAGTTCAAAACCACTATGTTTTTGGCAACATCCACTGGCATCTATTAAAAGGAACAGCGACATCAGGATTTCAGGCCTTACCCAGGAGAAAATATTGGTGTACTGAAAAGCGAATGGATTCTAGAGACTAAACTTAGATTGAATCCTGATTCTGGTACATACTAGTTGGGTGACTTTTAATCTCTGAATGTCTTTACCCATAATGCAGGAAAATATTCACCTTGCAGGTCTGTGCACATATTAAATGACATAAAGTTACCATTACAATGTCTGGCACACAGTACTTACTTTAAAAATTGCTATTATTAAATTATCCAACGATATTTTGGAATTACTAAATCTAATCTGAAAAACTGAATTACGAAAACTCACCAACTCAGAATATGCACCCTGAATATGCAAACATGCCTAAATAATGTTTAGTGAAATTGAAGGCAAGAGATCATGAAAAATAGTTGAAAGAGTAAGCCACACAAGAGACTATCAAGGGAACAGGACTAACTTGTGAGTAACAGATAGATAGAGTGGAAGAATAGAAGTTAAGAAAAAAGCAAGTAAGTATAAGGAGACATAAAGAATGCTTTGAAATTGGTGTGAGACTTCATAAATTACAACTGACTGAAGAAAAAGACTGAATCCTATATTATATGCAAAGGAGTAAGATATACAACTCAAATTAAGTATTCCCAGATGACAATTATGACTTCAAAATACACAATGGGTTTCACAGTCAAGAGACCCAAGTCCTAGTCCTTAACAGCCCCACCGCTAAGCTTCTAGGGTGCTTTAGGAATATTTGAGTCTCAGTTCCCTCATTTATTAATACATTCCCTTACAGAATACAGAACTCTCTGAATATTCAGTTCCTCAACTACATGATGAAGTGGTGAAATGAGTCCATGTCTATGCTCTCTTTCAGCTTTATGATTCTAAGGAGAAAGAGAATCTGTATTATTACTACCATGAGACTTAGATGAAGCCTGCTTATGTACCAATAAAGTAGAAAAGAAAAATACAGGAAAATAAGCCATTTGAGGACTACACAAATATTCACCAATATATGCTCTTTTCTTCACAATACTACCATACAGAAAGGCCTTTCTAAAGAACTTTCTTTTCCAGGATAAGCAGTTACCCTAAACCAAGAAGACCAAAGCATCTATTTAAAAAGGTAAGTTGTCCAGGCATGGTAGCTCAATCCTATAATCCCAGTACTTTGGGAAGCCAAGTGGGGCAAATCACTTGAGGCCAGGAGTTCAAGACCAGCCTGGCCAACATGGTGAAATCCCATCTCTACTAAAAATACAAAAATTAGCCGGGCATGGTGGTGCACGCCGGTAATCCCAGCTACTTGGGAGGCTGAGGCACATGAATCACTTGAACCCAGGAGGTAGAAGTTGCAGTGAGCCAAGATTGTGCCACTGCACTCCAGCCTGGGCAACACAGCGAGACCCTGTCTCTAAAAAAAATAAAATGAAAAGTAATACAAAATAAAAACGATGTATTACTAACAATTATACAATCTTCTAATCAGCAGATTTTCCTTTTATTTTCTCTCAGTATTTTCACCCCGTTCTTCAATCTTCAGAGAACTTGTTTTGACAAAATGAGAAGCTGAGCCCTAATTAAACTTATCTAAAGAATGTATAATTATTAAAAATCTGATTTTCTTATGTATTTGTATAGAAGAGTGCTGGTATACTGAAAGATCAAATTGTATTTTAAGAAAGGCAGCAATGAAGATATATAACAATTAATGTTACATTAATATTAAACTCCAGGTTAATTTTCCCAAATAATGTTATGGGTCAGTTTCCAAATTCTCTTTATTCATGTTATAGTCCAACTTTTCGATCTTCCAAAGTCAAAATAATCTTCACTTTACCTTCTATGTAGCCTTCTACCTCCTCTATTGTGCGTCCATCTCTCTATCTCCCCCGGCTAAGGTTTTCTCCTTTTTCTACTGTATATCACAGCAGGTCTCCACTTCAATTCTTAGTTTCCTTCCCTGGTTTTTCCAATTGTTCTTCCCATTCGTTTACCCCACTGTTTTATAGGATTCTCCTTTCTTTTCATCCCTAGGACTTACTGTCACAGTACTGCATCTCCTATTCTCGCTTCTTTTGATAAGTTTTTACACACATTACTTCTTCAGAACCTAAGGTTTCTCTTCTGTAGTCCTTTTTCAAAGAATATCTATCAATTCATCTCTAGAATCCCAAATATACTCTTGGGTCCTCATACCTAAGTATCCTTCCTACTTCTTTTCTCTTTACAGTCACTAATTCCCAGAATCCTGTCTGAAACTACAAATATCCCCTCAAAACCAAATTCCTATTCAATTGTCTCCACTTTCCAGCAATTATCCCATGTTCACCTCATTCTTTGTCGTCGGCCCAAGTATCCCCTAACCTGGCACAAGCCATTTAATGATCTAAAATTCCAAAGCCTATCTCTTCAACATGGCTCTCCTCTCTTTCCAGCAAACTATTTCCCTAACTCCCAATGCTTCACTAATTCAAAGTCTTAGGCCAGTACATCGCTTCCCTCAGATCTATTAGCCCAGCAAAAACTGATTGCCCAAATCTTCCTCTAAGCTTCCCAGACCTTACAACTGCAGCACTTCCATTCACCAAACCGTATTTATAGTTATTTCTCAATCTTTAGAGCCTATGGTCACTTTGCAAATTCTTCAGTCCTCTCCTTCTTCTCTCTGCCTTATCCTGTCCAGCTTCTCAGCACATTCCTATTACCCTTAACAATCTTCATGGCTATATTCTCCACCTTACCTTAGGCCTACTCCCCAAACTTTCTCATTCTCCCTTAAGAGGCCTAATTTCACCTCTCATTCCCTGAATCTGTCTTTAGACCTCTGGGAATTATCTAGAATCGTCTGCTTCCTAGTGCTCCTCTTTCGTTCTCCAACCCTGTCCAACTCCCTCAGCTTTTCTAGTATCTAGTTCTCACAGTACAGATATTAGAACTTTTACAATATCCACTCCTCCCAAACCTTTTCTTAGTTGTTGCCTCAATTCCCCTCAACTTTTCTCTCAGTCATTCCCCATTTCCCTCCACCTTCCCTGGCCGATTTTCCTCCACCTTTGTCACCGTTCTACTCCCTTTTCTAAACCTCCTTCATTCTGGAGGTGATTCTCAGTTATGTTAGTCTCTCAGCTTCCCCAACCTTTGCCTCATTCCCCTCTCCCTCCAACAACATTATTTTTCCTCCAATTTCTATTGACTTGGCGCCTCCCCTAGTTCCCCAATCTGCCTTCTACTCCATCTAAATATCTCCAGGCCGCCGCCAACATTTTCTCCTATCGGTAGACTCCTTCCCCGTGCCTCTCTGAACGCTCAGAGCCACCATTCTCCAATGGCCGGGGCCTGGCCCCTAGGTAGGTGTATGGGTCACGTACCCCATTCGCATCTTGGCTCCGCTCTGACTGCCCCCACTGCCGGGTAGAGGTGGGCGAGAGGGAAGGCGGCCGAGGTGCATGCTCTTTTCGAGGGCCGACATCAAGGAAAGGCTGCACGCACGTAGTCAAACAGTAGGCGAACCTTCGTCCCACGTTGAGTGTGGCCCAACCGGTCACGACTCGCTCCCCTAACGACGCCCAGTCGCCTTTGGACAGCACCCAGCTACCGGTAGCACCGCCTACCGCCCACCGGCTCTGCAAACTCCACCCACTCGCTTCAGCACTTCCACCGGAAGTGCGCAACAGCCCTCACACAAAGGAAGCTGGGTAACAGAGTCTGCGAACTCCGCAGACTCCCAACTGGAAACCCGACAACTTTCACCGGAAAGAGGAGCCGTCTTCAGGGCAATGCACCCTGGGCAATGGAGTCCTCAACGGGCGTATCCCTATGCGCTTGCGCAGCCGGAGGCGCCCCCAGCCAACCCCGCAGAGGTATTGTAGCAAAGCATCCTGGGTATTGTAGTCTATTGGAGGGAAGGCGTCTTGGCGCCTTCTCCTCGCACTGTTTTCCGGAGACTGTTAGAGGAAGAGTGGCTTTTTCCTGCCTCCCAGGCTGCCCAGCGGCGCCGGTTGCCGGGGAACGCAGGCGCCGTGGGGAGGGATGGCGGGAGGCTACTGCTTAGGTGCTGGAGACAGAGTTGTGCTGATGAAGAAGAGCTCGGGCTCATCATGAAGCAACGTAAAGGCCAAGGGCCTGGGGGCAGCCGTGGGCGCAAAAAAAGAGGTAACCCGAGCGATCAAAGATTGAGGAAAGCGTTAACAGGGGAGCAGGGTGTAAGGAATTTTAGGGAGACCCCCACCCCCGCTGGATAAACAAGAAAAGGGACGTAAGAAGGGAAATAGCCAGGGGACCAGAAGGTTAAAAGGAAGGGCAGTTGGCCCTCCAGAGAATAGAAAGGAATTAGGGGCTGGGGTAGGGGCCACAAAGTGGTGATTAATGAGATGAAGGTTACCGGTGGGATGACTGTAGAGGAGAAGAGCAAACAATAATAGGATTGGTTTTGATAACGAAGTGAAATGTATGTGTGCGAGTAGCTTTAGAGGTCCGCAGGGACAGGAAGAAACATAAATTGGCAAAGGCATGATATCATTTCTTGTGTGATTGTGGACAAGAATCACGTTTTATACATTTCTGAATGACCAAGGATTAGTACAAAGCAGGACTCGGTAAATGTTTGTTGAATGAATGAAGCATGAAGGGCTGGCTATGAGCAGGAGCTGGGGAAAAAATAATTGTAGAGTATAGAGTGGGGAAGAGTGGGGAATGACAGGTGTGATAGGATTGAAGTGGGGGTAAGGGCATGAGGTTCTCCTGAAGGACCTGAGATCGTGAAAGAGTGTACAGCAGAGAGTCCTTATCAGGTTAACACCTCGAGGAGACACAGGCTCACCGAGTAGGGGATGTTAGCTGCAGTGAGAACAGTCAAACTGGGAACCGAGGGCAGATCAGGAAACTGGATATTGAATCTCTACAAGACTGCCTTGAAGGGAAAAAGGACAGTGGGTGAACCTGCCTTTTTGCATCGTAGGCAGTTTAGTGAGAAAAGAAGTATTGGTTTGGAGCAGTGATAGGACATTAGGCCATTGGGTTGAGGACTGAAGCTACAATCTGGGAATTACTCTTATCCAAGCTGTTTGAAGATTACTAAGGCAGTTTTGAGGTAGTGGCTTTTCTGCCACGAAAGATAGGAGGATCTGAGACTGAAGCATACTAGTGCTCCCTGTGTCAAACCAGTTAAGCATGTTTGGTTGATAAGCGGAAAGTCAAAGTAGAAATAATATAGTATAGAACAGAATATACTTTTTTTGCTATACCATTTCCATAGTAGAAATATATACACAATCGTGTATAATTTTTATGTTGAAACTATCCATAGGGATTATGGTGGGTCTTTTCTCCACTATGGAGGGCAGAGGGGATGTTTGCATTAGAAGTCCAAATAATTAGTCCTGATACATTCCATATATTTTCTTCTTTGAGGCATAACCACTCCTCAAAGAAAAGTCTAAGGAAAAAAAAGGTATACATAATGTATGAATGGTTTCTTAAATTTCCTCCAAGTCTTCTTGAAAATGTACTATGAATGGAAGACAATCAGGGTCATTAAAGGAAAATTTTATAGAAAGTCATGATTAATTGCTTTGTTTACACTTTAATGTCTTTATGAAATCCAATAAATACTAAAGCCAATAAATATACGGACCTAGCACTGTGTTAAAAATAGTGGCAGAATCTGAAGATTAGATAGTCTGTGTCCTCACTGACTGTGTGATCTTGGCAGGAAAGAAAAGTTACAGACGATTTAAGATGTTCTTCATTGAAATGCTGAGTTGTATGATATAGTCTAAATCGTTTGTGAGTGAAGGGGGTTCTTACTGTTTTATAGTTAGTGATTTTTTTTAAAAAAAAAGAGTTAAAGATTACATATCTTAAAAACCATAGATGTTGCAATAATTAAAACAACTGTACTTGTAAAAATTTCAACCATACTTAGAAAAATTTCAACTACTTCTGATATTTCTATTTTTCAAATAGTAACTCAATTAAAGAAAAGTTTATATTAGTGTGTCTTCGTTAGTATGTTCTTTACTTACAGTAACTCAAATCAAACCTTAAATACTAATTAGTTATCAGGGTGACTTACATGACCAGGTAGATTATTCTGTGGTCTGATTTGATAGTTACTTCTCATGTGTTAGAATAATGGGTAGGATAAACCTTTTTTCTAAATGATGATAAATTGCTGAACTTAAGACTAAAGTGTTTTGTTTGTTTTCATTCAAAAAGCGTATTATATGTTTTCTATATTTAGTCTAAATTTTGATTCCATTTTCTTGGATTCCTCTACAGGTTTAAGTGACATTTCTCCATCTACAAGCCTGCCACCTCTGGTTGAAGGCCAGCTACGCTGCTTTCTAAAACTTACTATTAATAGAGTCATATGGAAGATTGCAAAGCCTCCCACTTGTGTACTGGTCCGAGTGAGATGGTGGGGAGAAACATCAGATGGAACCCTCTTTTGTCCCAGGGATGCATTGCAGACTGAACCAAAAGCTGTGAGAACAACTACACGTTATGCTATTCGTTGTGGTCCAAAACAGTTTACCTCTTATCTAACAGGTATGTTATTGTTTTATCATTGCACCTGCAGACATAATACAAAGCATGTGGTTATATTGTCAGCAATAAGTGTTATTGTATACCTAGCATATATGGGCATTCTTAATTATTGAAAAGTCAAAGAGTTTTTATAGTAGAGATTTTTCTTTGTAAATTTATTGAGTGTTACTGTGTGCCAGCAGTTTTGAAATGTATTACTTCTAGTCCTTACAATAACCCTGAAAGATAGGTATTGTCTCTGTTTTATAGACAATGAAGTTTGGAGAGATGAAATGAATACTTTCTAAGGTCACAAAGTTGATAAATGACTGAATTAGGATTTGAACCCACTTCTGTCTGTCACCAAAATTCATGCTCTTTTCACTACACCATGCTTTTTTAGGCAATAACTGTAGTCTCAACTCTGGGGTTTACGTTATACTCAAGGAAAGAGGATATAGATGTAAAATTTACCAATAGTACAAGCTAATACATACTAAATGCCAAACGAATGGTTTAGGGAGTTAGTATTACAGATGTTCAGAGATGGAAAGCATCCCTCTGTAGGGAACCAGAGGCCAAGATGTCTTCATTTTTGTACAAGGAAACTATTCTGAGTGTACTATGTTATTTCTTCATTCAGGTCAAGCTTTCACATAAATACGTTTTGGGTGATGGGGTTATTTATCAAATCAATTCAGTTCAAGTCAATAAAATTCGAGCATTTATCATGTAAACATTGTTGGGCTCAGAATATTGGAGAGCCAGGGGTGAGTTAAAGATTAACTTGTCCTTGAGTAACTTACATTCCCTCGAGAAAAAATTTTTGAAACATCAACATGTAAAGAACAAATGCTGTAATTCAGTCATTCAAAAAATATATTTAGCACATGTTAGACATTGTTGAAGGTATTGTGGGGTTTACAAAAAATCCAAAAAATTAATCAGAATGATACAGAACTCTAACTTCACAAAAAGTTTAGTTATTAATGGTAGGTTAAATGCAATAAATGCGATTAAAAGATACTCATAAATCTTGGTACTGTAAACTTAAAACTGAAATCCTCAGGTAGTATTTTTATGTAATGTAACAAATGAGGAGTGATTAGAAATTTAATAAGAGACAAGGAATTTATTAACATGGTAATCAACAGGTCAGACTTTTATTTGAATATCTTATGGTATACTGGTGCATTGGATTTGGCATCCGAACATTTACATTGGTGTTACCAACTATGTGATTTTGGGAAAGTCTCTTCTCATTTCTGATTCTTATTTCCCCATCTGTAAAATGGGATCATATAGTTGCCCTTCCATTTTCTAGGTATTTTCACAAAGAAGCAACCCGGTTGAACAGGTTGAAGTCTAGACAGTCTAGAGTTTGAACTCCGGTTTCAGGACTAGATTGTTAGGTGATGCTGAGAGGTTCCTTAGCATCTTGGGGCCCCAGTTTCCTATTAGTTAATTGGCAAAAATGGCACTTATTTGTCAGGAATTATTGTAAATACTAAATGAAAAAAATGTTTGTAAAGTGATTGGTCTAGTAGCTGACGCATTGTAGGTGTAAGTCTTACAAAAATATTAAGACTCAGGCAGTGTGTACAGAGATTTAAGATGTATTCCCTGCCCAAAAGGAACTTAAAGATTAGTTGAAAACAAAACTGACATACATGAAACAGTAGTGAGCAATGCCAGACAGTGTCTGATTACTTGATACATATAGTAATATCATATGAATATTCTAGGAAGTTAATAAGAACTAATCTTATTAGGAAGCCAGAATCCTGCTTCTACTCTATGCTCTGGCTGTTTGACTTTGAGCAAGCCGTTTCATCTTCTTGGGCCTTAATTTTCCCACCAGTAAATTGAAAGAGTTAAACATCAAATGTGCCAGCACCCAAATTTCATGATTCTAGTTAAGAAAGAAGGCCATGGAAAAGGTAGAATTTCAACAGGAGACACATGAGTCTTGCTCTGGCCCAGGCTGGAGTGCAGTGGTGCACTCTTGTCTCACTGCAAGCTCCACCTCCCGGGTTCAGGCCATTCTCCTGCCTCAGCCTGCCGAGTAGCTGGGACTACAGGCTCCTGCCACCACACCCGGCTAATTT